TCTCTCTCTCTCTCTCTCTCCATCTCTTCCGACTGTTGCGTTCCAGACTCGGATGCGGCGGCTGATGCAAAGGTGCCACGGTCATCTGCTTTTGGAGATCTCTCCATCTCTTTCCTGCCTCCACCATGCTATTCATCTCCTGGGGTTTCTTCATTCGTCTTGGCTGCGGCGCGTTGCGTTTCGATCCTCCTCGCCATATCCAGTGCTAGCCAACACTGTTCCTCGACTTTAGAGGGAGGAAGGTCGCGGGCTTCTTCTCTCTCTCTCGCAGCGTCTTCTTCCAGCGATCTGGGGTTCTCTCTCTCCTTTTCCAGATACCTCCTCGCCTCCATGTCCCGTTCTCTGTCTCTCTCCTCTTCAGCTCGTTGTCTCTCTTCTTCTTCCATGGCTGCTTGGATCTCCCATGCATAGCGTAGCTGCCAGGTGAATCTCCCATGTGTGCACTGCACCCCATTGACGACATCCCTCCTGTCGAACAGGCTCCCGTCGGGCCATCTTATACTGAACGGGCTTATGGACCCTCCTTGACGGCCGCCGCTGTTCCTCCTCGAGCTCGTGCCGCCGCTCGTGTTGCTGCTCGTGTTGTTGCTCGACCTCATGGCTTTGCCACGCACCATCGTGATCCATTGAGGAAGATAGAATGAATGTGTGTGTGTGTGTGTGTGTGTGTTTGTGTGTATGTGTGTGTGTGTGCGTGAGTGAGTGAGTGTGTGTGTGTGTGTGTGTGTGTGTGTGTGTGTGTGTGTGTGTGTGAGAGAGAGAGAGAGAGAGAGAGAGAGGGAGAGAGAAGTGTAGGAGATAGATAGGGACTAGCAGAATGATGGAGAGGCTATGGAGCGGCAGAGTGCAGCAATTGCACTTTCGCATGCTCCATGCTTGGCTTGGTCAACGTTTTATACAGTAATAAACGTTGACCTGGCCCCGGGGTCAGGCTGTACGAACGTTGACTTGATCCTGGGCCCGCGCCGGAACCGATGTTGATATGACTGTGGACATGAATGTTGACATGACTGTTGACTTAATCCTGGGCCCGGGCCGGAACCGTTCACATGAGTGTGGACGTGAACCGATGTTGACATGAGTGTGCACATGTTTTTGTTTTTTGTTTTTTTGTTTTTTTTTTGTTTAATTTAAAGTTCGCTTGCCGTGGACTTATAATGAGGGACCTGCGGCCGGGCCAGAACCGATGTTCACACAAACATACAGGTAGACATGCACACAGAAAGCCACACAGAGAGGTAGACAGGTAGACATGCACACTGAAAGCCACACAGAGAGGTAGACATGCACATAGGTGTGGATGGCCCTTTGACTTGGGTCTCGACCTGGGAAAATGGCCATATTGGGCCCGGTCCCAGGTAGAGTATTTTTTTTTTTTTTTTCATTAACTTAACCTGGACGAGGACCTCAGCCTGAACCTGTGTGCTTTCTAAGCTTTACCTGGGTGTACCCTTCTCCTTGCCTTTTTTTTTTTTTTTTTTTAATCTCCGGTCCTCGGCCTGCAGGTCAGGCTGGACGTGGGCGTGGACCTGAGCCTGGAGCTGGGTCTGGACGTCACTATGGACCTGACCCCGGGCCTGTTCTCAGGCTTAGACGGTTACTGAGTCTGGACCTTAGTCTGGACCTGRGTCTGGACCTCAGTTGGASTAGGACGTCGGCTTGGACCAGGACCTGACTCTACATCTGCCCGTGTTCAACCACGCAATCACCCAACGAGCTAATCAACGACCTAACCGAATGAGACTGGCCCTGAATCCTGGGTGTTTGGTCCAGGTCTAAGGCGCTGCTGGCGCCCAGACATACAGGCAGGCAAACAGGCAGAAAGGCGGACAGACAGATGTGCATTCAGGCAGGGAGATAGGCATGCAGACAGGCAGACAGACAGGCAGATAGGAACACGCAGAGATGGACAGACAGACAGACAAACTGATGTTTTTTTTTCTTTTCCTTAGCACGGACCTGGAACCATACATAGCCTGCTGTATCTGTCTGCGTGCGTCTGTCCGTCTGCCTGTTCTGAAAGCCCAGCGCTGCAAGTGCTGCCCGGTGTTCAGTTCCCGGGGTTGACATACCTCTGGTCTGCGGGTCTGTACCTGTTGACCTGGCCCTGGGCCCGGGTTGTTAATTGAGTCCGGGTCTGTGGCCCTTTGAGTGGGGTGTGGGCCACAGTCCCATACCTGATTTTTTTTTTTTTTTAGGAGCCACGCAGCCAGGCAGGCATATAGGCGGGCAGGCAGAGATCTTCCCACTGTGCAGGCACCCATGCTATCCCGAATAGGTCCTGGGCCTAGGTGCAGGCCCGGTGTGGAGGCCTAGGTGTAGCCCGACGTGCAGGTACAGACGCAGGCCCAGGTGCAGTCCCGGGCCCAGGTGCAGTCCCGGGCCCAGCTGCAAGCCCAGGCCCAGGTGCACGCCCACGCCCATGTGCCGGCCCACGTGCAGGCCCACGTGCATGTAAAGGTGCAGGCCCAGGTCCAGGCCCAGGTGCAGGCCCATGCCAAGGCACACACCGATGGGACAGCCAAGTGTTGGTTGTCGGAGGATCAAGCCATCCCGACTCCCCCGGCCTTCGCTTGGCCGAGCTGCAGGTCCAGGTGCAGATGCAGATGCAGGCCGAGATGCAAGCGCATGTGCAGGCCCAAATGCAATCCCAGGAACACGCAGACTTCTATTGTTTTTCCACATGCAGACCCACTTCCAGGCCCGCATGCAGGCCCACGTGCATGTACAGGTGGAGGCCCAGGTGCAGCCCCAGGTGCAGGCCCACGCCAAGGCACACACCGATGGGACACCCAAGCGTTGGTTGCCGGAGGATCAAGCCATCCCGACTCCCCCGGCCTTCGCTTGGCCCAGCTGCAGTTCCAGGTGCAGGTGCAGATGCAGGCCGAGATGCAAGGCCAGGTGCAGGGCCAGGTGCAGGTGAAGATCCAGGCCCAGGTGCAGCCGCAGGTCCCGGTGCAGGGCCAGGTGCAGGCCCAGACTCAGGTGCAGTCTCAGGTGCAGGTGCAGGTGCGGATGCAGGGGCAGGGAAAAGTTTAGATGCAGGGCCAGGTGTAGCTCCAGGTACAGGCCCACGCCAAGGCACACATCGATGGGACACCCAAGTGTTGGTTGCCAGAGGGAATTATAGAGGGAATTATTGGTGGGACACCCAACTACCCACCTCCCACCGAACCAACCACCTAAGCCAACCACCCAACCAGGCATCCACCGAAACGTCCAACCAGTCAACCCCCCCAACCACCCAACCAACGGACCAGCAAACCGTCCAATGCCATAACCCAACCACCCAGACATATAGGCATGCAGACAGGCGAAAAGGCAGACAGACAGATGTGCATGGAGCCAGGGAGATAGGCATGCAGACAGGCAAACAGGCAAACATACAGGCAGATAGGAACACGCGGAGATGGACAGACGGACAAACAAACTGATCTTTTTTTTAATTTTTAGCACGGACCTGGCACCCAACCAACCACACAACCAGCCCGCTGTCCGGTTCCCAGGGTTGATTTTTTTTTTTATATCTTTTACCAGGGTACGGAAAAAGCCTCTCTCTCCGCATATGCATGCGTGCAGGTGCGGGTCGACGTCCAGGTGCACCCGCAACAGCGGGGCTGTGCCTGGGCCCAGGTGGAGCCCCGGGTGCAGGCCCACGCCCAGGCCCATGTGCAGGTGCAGATGGACGCCCGTGTGCAGGCTCCCCTGCAAGTCCCGGCCCAGGTGCAAGCCCTGACCCGTATACAGATGCAGCCACATGTATAGGTGCACGCCCGCTGTGCAGGCCCGTCGTGCATGTTGGAGCCAGGTTGCAACTCACATCGTTTTCTTAATGTTGTTTAAGCTTGACTAAGGTCTCTCTCTCTCTCTCTCTCTCTCTCTCTCTCTCTCTGTTTTCGATCAATCAATGAATTTGATCGATTAATTGGTTGATTCCTTTTTCATGGTGGTCTCCACAGATGGGCAAGCATCTACTCAAATGAATATGGCGGTCGACAGCCAGGTAGATAGGCCGGTGGAAGGAATATCATGGTCCGATGTGCTGACGCAAATTCGGGCGCATAATGATGGGGATGGTGTATTTGGAAAATGGCTCGCCGATGCTCGCACGCAGAGGAAATATCTTGAGGAATGTAGTGAACGATATGAGTATGGCATGGCTTCGCAAATTCATGACATGGAGCAACGTCTACTTCCACGTAAGTCTCAAGTGCCTTATGGAATTGGAGGTAAGGTTCCGAACGATTCCGCATTGAAAGGAGAATGCGGCCGCTATTTGACTGACAATGAAGGCCTTCGGTGGACTCAGGCTGAGTTGCTTGGGATGTTGAAGAAGAAGGAGGAGGAAGTGACTGCGCTGAGAAGTGCATTCCCAAAAATTGAGGTGAATGCACAATCAGTGCTCGAAAGTTTCCTGGAAAGGAAACGACGTGAAGAGGTGAGAGATTTGTATTTGTCTGGTAGTGTGGATGGGAAGAAGGAGGAGAATGTTGGCGAGGACATTGCGAGCCAACTTCCGTCTTTGATCCAATCCTCGATTAGAAATGACTTGCTTGACCAAGTTGCTGAACTTAGTACTAAAGTTGATCCACATCTGTCCCAAGAGTGTGAGTATTTGCATCTACGTTGTAAATCAATGGAGTGTGCATTGAGAAAATTGTTGTCGGCAGGTGTCTTGCCATCGATTGATCCTTCTCTTGCATCGGAGGTGTTTGAGCTCCTAGTTGCTCGAACTTTACAAGATCTTCCGAAAAGTTATTTGATTGGTATATTGCAATCATTGTGAACAGTTGGTGTGGAGCTTGCACATAGAAATGCGCTTTTGGAGGTGCAAAATGCAATGAGTTTTCCGGTCAGCGATAGCCAGTTGAGAGCGACAGTTGTTACTCTAGGACAATTGTACAAAAACGCACGAGAAGAGTTAATGGACACTGTGTATCAACATAGTTTATCGGATCAGTGCGGTGAGGGACTGACGGATGGTATGATGGCCAGGTACAAGGAATAGTTGTATAGCCTCAGAATTTTGTTAGGAAATATCATTGTTGCTCATTCGCCGGTGCGGGTTATGAAGGAGATGGACCATGTAAAAAAAGAATTGAATGCTCTCGCGAGCATAAATAAAAAACATGAGAGCAGATTGCATGAGGTGGTGCTTGCACTGATTGAAGCTCTGCGGCGTCGATGTCCAAAGTGTGCCCGCCTAAGTCATTTGACACAGGGGGACTATAGAAAGATAAATGATTTGACGGTTGTTACACCTACATGTGACAACACGACAAACCTTTATCCCTATGGAGATGCCGTTGTTGATGATAATGACAAGTTCGCAATGGAAGAAAGGAGAAGGCATCTTCGCGGGGAGGACGATGTAGATGAATAGTGTGTGTGTTTTTTTTTTTGTCGCATATGCATTAACTGTTGTTCGAGTGAGAATAGTAGGAGAGGCAGGAGCTAGAGTGCGAGGGAGAACGCGGACATGGGGTGCGATGACGAGCAGGAATGCGTGCTTTCACATTGTTCATTTCATTAATGATGATGACAGTTTAATGGGTTAATGATAAAATGCTTCAATTCTAAATCTTTTGACACTTTTTATTTGAATTTTCTCGCTCTCTGTCTCCGTTTGTCTTTCTCTCTCTCTCTCTCTTTGTCTCTCTTTCCGTCTCTCTCTGTCTCTCTGTCTCCCCGTCTCTCTCTTTCTCTGTCTCTCCCTCTTTCTCTCTCTCTCTCTCTATCTGTTTTTTTTCTCTTATGTCTCTCTCTTTCTCCCTCTCTTCTATTTGTTTCAACATTCTCTCTTTGACAACTACTTTTTTCATTTGCATGAAAATGTTGTTGATGGATAAAAACAAAGGTTGCTTTACTCAGTTGTTCATATGTTATCTCATGTTGAATGTGTTAATTGTTATAAACATTATGTTACTATTTTGAGACTTACATTTTTATTTTTATTTTTTTCAATATTGTTCTGTTCTCTGTGTTCGCTCTTATATTGTTCTACTTTTTTTTTTTTTCTATCTCTCTTTTTTTTTTTTTTTTTTTTTTTTTTAAAGTTTTTTTTTTTTTTTTTCGTTCGACATTGTCTTTCCCGAACAGGATTGAAATTTTGACAAACTATTATTCGTACATTAAAACATAAGTTCTATTGCCCATTTTTCACTTTGGAGTTTCATATTCTGTGTGATTGTTTTTATCAAATCGAAATTTACCTTTTCTTGCTAACTTTCTTTAAATTTTGTTTCTTCGTTTTATATGGTTTTCAGTATCTGCTATTATATTATTCTACTTATTGCTTAAAAAATGGAAAAAAAAAAACAGGTGAGTATACTTTAAAAAATTTGTACGCGACAAAAAAGACGAGTATAAAAACAATATCTTTCACCTCCTCCCCCCCCCCCTCGAAAAAAAAAGCAATGCGAATATTGCATGTTATGGAAATGTGATTTAATGGAGAATCGTTAAAAAAAACCATCGATAGTTAAAATAACAAAATAGCACAACAACAACACACATTCATCGTCTCCGATTACATATTGTGGAAGGAAAGCAAAGCATACTTATCCCAAAACAAAGTACGTATAATTATGTTCTATTCTACGCTGAAAACATTAAGGTGCTTACATGAAGGAAAATAAATAGTGTTGGGAGGGTTGGGTCGCACTGTGTAATGCAAGGAATATCGGAGAAGGAACCCGTCCGATAATAAATAATGAAAGTGACAATAAACGTAACCTTTCTCCCAAGGCACCCGTGCTATCCTTAACGACCTCCTCTCATGTAAGTCTGTTCCAAAAAATCATGTTCTTTACCCCCTTTGCTCCTATTTCGTCTAAGTTACCAAAAAAAGGGAGGAGAGGAATGGTGAGGTCATCAACAGTTTGACCGACCTCAATCGCTAGGAATGGCTCTTCCTGGAACCACGACCTTCGAGGCTGGCTGGGGAGAGGTGCGGTACGCCGCATAGACCCATTTATGGGGGTGGTGCAATGTTGTTGTGGTGGAGCCAACGCCTACTTCTGAGATTCAGGCCTCGTGCCTGGGCGAGGAGGACGGGTGTCACAGACTACATCCTAGCGGTTGGGACTCGGGCAGGTTGGGGAAGACTTTTACCCTTCTTCGATTTTTTTGTGAATGGTGACTGACTTAGGATACCCAAGGCTGACCGCAAGTAGGAGCAGCCTCTACCGAATGCAATTGGAGTCAAAAGAAAATTCGTTCCCGATCACAACCTTATACGAACAGGAAAGTGAGCCCTGTGGAGGAATGACAAAGGGTAAACGTGGATAAATGAGGTACTTATGACTCGATCCCATGGGGCCCTGAAAAGACTAAGGGGCGTATAGGGGGGAAAAAAAAATATATGAAAAAGAATTTATCGTTTTTTTCACGAACACATAAAAAAAAAAATACAATGCACGGATAAAAGAGACAAAATACAATTCGTCATGAGTTGCTTAACCTTCATTTTCCTTGACATAAACATTAAAAAAAAAGAAAACAAAATAAAAAACGTGAACTCAACGTTTTGCTCTGTTCGTTTTTCGTTTTGTGTTTTGCCAACTTCGTTTATCATTTGACTATATTTTTTTCTTCTTTTGAATGCTTGACCCTGTATCTTTTCTATTACTACCATAATTACATCTGGCTACAAACATTATGGGATATATATCATCCTGCTGATTTTTAGATGTTCCATATTCCTCATAACCTCAGATTTTTACGTTCTAATTTTACGTTGTAGCCGCCTAAGAAGAGACGCATGTAGGCCCGTTCAGATGGCGGGGGATGAAAGCATAGCTAATGATTCACACGACATTGATTTGTTTGTCGCTCCGAACTCTGCTTCGTCTGCCGACAAGTCCCCGCACGTTCAATGGAAGCGTCGAAGACGCCTTCGCCGTTGTGAAAGACCTGTTGTCGCTCCTTTGTTGTCTTCTGCAACGATACCCAACTATTATAACTGTCCTGCCATTGATTCCGCTCAAGTTCATTTCCCTTCGGTGCCAAATTATTCTTTTTCGTCGAATGATGGGTTGGGATTGTGTGTGCGTTCTGATATTACTCGTTGTCCTTTTACTACTGAAACACGGGTGTCATCAAAAGATGAACACCGCAAACGTGGTCGACCGCTTCCCAGAGTCGTCGGACTCGAAGGTCTTTACTGCAACCGGTAGGTGGTGTGGGTGATGTGACTACTGACGGAAGGGACAAACAACCGATGATAACTCCTGATCGCGCCCTTGATTGTTCTGTGGAAGAACAATGTAGTGATAGATCTTTATCTTTCCAACAAACAATTCCATTGTTGGATGGTATCCCAAACCCTCAGTTTTTTTTCGGAGGAGTCAAGAAAATGTTGATGTTGGTACGAGTGAGATTCTTTGCCAAGAAAACCTGCCTGTCACCCTGCGAAGTGCACGACCTTATGGAAATTCCACGCATGATGCAGTCCGGACAAATTTTCTTCCTACGATCGAAACAACCTTTCCAGTTCATCATTCTTCCTTTTATTCGCCACACGTGCAAAACGGTTCGTCCTCCACATTTACAGAAGATGTGCTACGAAGATCCGTGCAACCTTATCTTTATGCTTCCATCGCACCGGTTCATGCACAGGCATGCTCTTCTCCGCGAAACTTGCCAAAATCCCCGAACGCAATGGTTAGGAGGTTGGTTGGATTTCATAATCGTCGAAGGAGATCGACAATATTGAAACCGATTCGTTCGAGCCGCAACAGACGATATCGTATGTTGTGCCTTCGGGCACTCCGTACCGGTAAAGTCGCGCGTCGTTTGAACCTTGGATCGTTGTCGTCTGTACGTCCCCTTGTGTTCCCCACTTTGATGCACATGCGGTAGTTGTTGAAAGTACAGTGGCCGGTGGCGGTGCAACTGAACAAGTCCGTACGATGAATGACGATGAACCGAGGTCTGCATCGTATGAAATTTCTACTTGAAAAAAGGGACTTCAAAGACGACCAAACTATCACGTTAAACGTATGCGTGCATTGAGAGTTGTGATTAAGAATCGCAGGAGGAACAACGATATGCATGCTCACAAACGTTTTTGCGGGGTGTGAGGCAAAGTTTGACCCCTGTTAATATCCTTCGAGAGATTCGAGCAACCGCCTCTGGGCAGTCGTGGGGTGCATCTTCTTCTTCGAAGGAAACGCATCGTCATTGTTCTCGACCGAGGCAATGGCGAAGTATGTCGGGGAGAGCGGAGCAGTCGCACAATCCGTCCGTTGTGATTCAAAATTCAATGAACAATCGGGAACATAGTGAGCCAGATAATCGGGATGAGGAAATGAATGATTTGGATGATGATCCACCTGCTGATATGAATGCACTCCCGTCTGTGCCCGTGGCAACACCGTATGCAGCGATTGAGAACACCATGACTATTGTTGCGAATGCTAGCACGGTTCGAGCATTTGGCATTGGTGGTCGAGAACTGTGCAGGTATTGTGGTGCAAAGTTGTGGAATCATGAAAAAAGTTGGACAAAAATATGTTGCAGAAGAGGTACGAGACGTTGTCCTCTGTGGGAATGACCTCGAGAAGGGTCCCCAGAGCATGAGATTCTTTCTATTTGGATGTCTCAGACTCTCGACGGCCGATTCGTTCGAAACAATGCGAGGATAATCAATAACAGTTTATCTCTCGCATCCTCGCGGTTGAAGCAACCGAGCGATGGCGTTCAGGGATTCCAGGGCCAACTTCGGGCTCAGGGTCTGATCTATCATCGTGTCGGTGCATTGGCTGTGGGGAAAGGGGAACGTCCTCGGTTTGCACAACTTTACTTGCACGATCCTCACCGTTTGGATGATGCGATTGATCAAAGAGTGGATTTCCTTAATTTGCCTGCACACACGTCTGATGCCGAACTTCACCGAATGAGACGACTCTTAAAAAGGTTTCACGAGTTGCTACAACAGTGTAACAACTATGTGAAGGACTTCATGACCATCGCCGACCCTCCGTCGGGTGCATTGAATGAAAGGAAGTTGGTCATAAATCCGGATGCCATGCCCGCAGAGGAACATGCGAGGCGTTACCACCGTCCGACGGGGCTACAAGAGGTCTGTGTTCTCATGGCGGATGACCTTTTTCCTTGTGAGCTTGAGATTCGTTTGCGTGCTCCTCTTCCTGGTGAGCAGGCAACGTTGTCGTTCTGGAGTGTTCCTGAGTGAACGACTGTTTGAGGTTTGTTTTGCTTTTCCCGGAAGGAATTGATAGTTGGTCTGTCCGCCGTGCCTCAGAAGCTGGATGGCCAACAGGAGTCAGTGCCAAGGAGTAATATGCGTTTCACCTGCAAGAACGTGATGGTGAAAGGCCTTGCCTCCTTTATGTTGCACGTCTTTTCCACGAGTTTTGTTGCATGGCTTACGCTAAGGTTGAATCCCTTCGCTTAAAATTGGTAAGATTTCATCAGAAAGACTTGTGGTCAGAATATTATCAGGACCTGCGAGACGCTGTTCAACAAAATCAGCACAGTGATGGTGTTGGGACAAAAATACTTCTGCCCTCTACCTTCACTTGGGGACCGCAGTATATGACCGAAAGATATCATGACAGCATGACAATTGTGAGGCGGTTTGGAAAACCCGATCTTTTTATCACTATGACGTGTAACACAAACTGACCGGAGATCCAACAAGCCCTCTTGCCGGGTCAGTGTGCAACCGACAGGCCTGATCTTCTTGCCCGAGTGTTCAAAGGTTATCTCACCCAGCTCATTGACGAGATTAAGAAAAAACGGATCTTTGGGAGAGTCGATGGAATGTTGTATGTGGGGGAGTTCCAAAAAAGGGGTCTGCCGCATGCACACATATTGGTCATTTTGCATCCGGATGATAAAATCCGCGATCCAGATGTTGTTGACAACGTAGTGTGTGCAGAGATTCCGCCTGAAGGGGAATTGAGAGAAAGGGTTGTCAAATTCATGTTGCACGGCATTTATGGTGAGGACAAGCAGGATGCTTCGTGTACTGAGAACGGGAAGTGCACCAAAGGGTTTCCAAAAGAATTCATTTTCACGACAACCTTCAAAGATGAACAAACTTACCCTTCTTACAGGAGAAGAAAACCAAGTGACGGTGGCTTTATGGTCGTTCAAATCGCGTTGTTTATGATAATCGTCCAGTGGTCCCGTATAACCCGTACTTGCTGATGAGGTTTAACTGCCACATCAGTGTCGAATGTTGTGCTAACATCAAGGCGTGCAAGTATGTGTATAAGTACGTGTATAAAGGGTGTGATAGTGCCATGGTTTGCGAGCAAGATAACGATGTACCTGTCGATGAAGTCAAATCCTATCAAGATATGCGTGTTGTTGGTGCGTGCGAGGCATGCTGACGTCTGTTTGAGTTCGACCTTGCGGAACAGTGGTCCGCAGTCGAAAGATTGCCTGTGCATATCGAGAACATGCAAAAAGTGGTGTTCGAACCAGGGACGGAAGATCATGTTCTTTCGCGTGGACCGCCGACCACAAAATTGACGGCATGGATGGATCACAACTCTTTGAACGCACATGTTCCTAAACACGATCTCCCTTTGTATCCTGACATTATTAAAACTCATGTGTGGGATAATCAACATAAGGTGTGGAACAGAAGAAAGCGTGCTCTTCATGGTGCTCCTTTCGAAAAGATACATCGATTGCATCATGCCACGGTCACGGAAGGCGAACGCTTCTATCTCCGTGTGTTGCTACACCATGAGCACTCTCGTGGAGCACGCTCTTTTGCAGAAATTTGTACCGTCGATGGAGTCGAATACGATTCGTTACTATCGGTGTGTCTTCGATTAGGACTTTTGCAAACCGATGATGCATATAATCAATGTATAGATACGGCCGCACTCCATTATATGCCTGCAGAGGTTCGTAAAGTGTTCGCTATGCTTCTGCTGTTTGGCCCGGTCAACCATCCTGTTCAATTCTTTCAACGGCATTGGGACAAAATGTGTGATGATTTTCAGTATCGTTCGGGCTCTCTAATTCTTCCTCCGATCGTTTTGCAATGTTTGGTGCTCTTAGATCTTGACCGTATCTTGCACGAGTCTGGCAAAAACATTCATCTGTTCGGTCTTTATTATCCGACCCCTGATGTAGAAACGGTTGCCGACGACATAAACAGGCATTACGAGAATAGGACTGTGTCGTCGATTATAAATGATGAGTTGTCGTATGATCCGATTGAAATGCGAACTAGATTCGAGTCTAATTTTCGCCGTCTTCGGTCGCGCCAACGAGCGCTCGTGCAAAGAGTTGTTCGGGCCGTGGAAGAGAAACAACCGCTTTATGCTTTTGTAGATGCGCCGACAGGAATTGGAAAAACTTTTTGCATAGAAACGATTTTGGCGGGGATCAGGTCGTGTAATGGTATTGGACTCGCTGTGGCGTCCAGTGGGATAGCCGCGACTCTTTTGACTGATGGTCGAACATTTCACTCGCGATTTCGAGCACCTTTGAAACCTGATAACACGCGTCCCTTCAATATTCCGAAACAGGGTGATCTTGCCGAACTTATCCGGTGTGCGGACTTGATCGTTTGGGATGAGGCTCCGATGAGTAACAAGTTCCACTCGGAAGCTCTTGACATTACGCTTCGAGATCTCTGTAACAGTAACCTCCCGTTTGGAGGAAAGGTTTTGCTTCTTTCTGGGGACTTTCGGCAGGTTTTGCCCGTTGTGAAGCATGGGTCTCGAGCGCAACAAATTGATGCCTCTATCAAAATGTGTCCTTTGTGGAAACTCTTTGAGGTTCATTGCCTGAGTGAGAATATGCGGATCTTAAGCTTAGGGGATGATCCAATGGCGCAAATGTATGACGTGTTTTTGATGCGTATTGGGAATGGGGATCATATTCGTTTTGTTCCTAATGAACCTGCCGCGGTCAAACTGCCGCATGAGATTTGCACTGATAAACCTATTCGTGATTTGATTTCCTGGACGTTTGGGGACTATTTTTACGCTCGATTGATTCTCTGCGCCACCAATGATGATGCGGGGTGTGTTAACGATATGGTTCTCAACGATTTCCCTGGCGAGGTGCGTGAAAGTTATAGTGTTGATTACCCTGCTTCTGATGATCACGAACTTGCTATCCAACAGGAGTTCTTAAATTCTCTTAATGAGTCTGGTCTTCCGCCTCACAAACTGCGCTTGAAAATTGGTGCGCCTGTGATGTTGTTGCGCAATTTGTCGCCCAAATAAGGACTTTGCAATGGCACAAGGTTAATTCTTAAAAAGATTGTTGATGATGATTTGTTGGAAGTGACCATAATGCGTACCGGTAAAACAACACTGGTCCCCAAAATCGATTTAACAAGTGATGGTGAAACCACCGGGTTCAAATGGAATAGGAGGCAGTTCCCCATCCGTCTTGCGTTTGCTGCGACCATTAACAAGTCGAAAGGACAAACTGTCTCTCGTGTCGGGGTTTGGTTGTGCAAACTTGTTTTTGCGCATGGCCAGTTGTATGTTGCTTTGTCGCGTGTTGGTCATCCCAACAACATTCGTGTTGTGTTGCCCGACAAAAAATTCATCACAAAGAATATTGTTTACCATGAACTTTTGCAATGATTTCTTCTCCTTGGTCGTATATATCTCTTTCGGACGAGTTGTCAGGACATGAGCGTCACTTTTTGAATGAGTTCTTCTCTTTTGTCGTATATATCTCTTCCGGCTGATCGGTGTTAAATTTTGGTAAACTTATTTTCTTTTTTTCCCCGCAGGCGAATCTGAACTGCACCATACCTACGGGACACGCACTCAAACGAAAAAGAGGAAACAAACCATCAATAGCAATACAATTGATGGTGCTGTGAATGTTACATCTAGACAACAAGGGGCCCAGTCAAGGCGATCAAGGAAGAGCAAAAAACAAGATACATCGGATAATGAAAATGAACATACTGGTGGCCATGATATTGTGCGCGATGAAGTTGAAGGTACCCCATCAACAAGCGAGCACCCTCGAGGATGCTGAAAAAATGCATGTTGACTGTTATGACGATGATCATGATCGGCGTGACAAATTTGTGCCTAATTTTTCATTGGGTTTGGCCGGTAAGTCTCTGCTCAATGATGACGAAGATGATAGCGATACTAGTGATTCTCAAGCGATTGATTGTACACCCAAGCGTAATCGTGTTCCTCAGGAAAAGAATCTCGTGGGTTCAACTCCAATTGGTAAGCTGACCCTCCAAAATCATCACAATCATGAAGATGAATTTGTCACTCATGGAGTTGTTGGAGATGTGCGTGCTCGTGATTCATGTTCGCAATCCCAACGCTCCGCACAAAGAAAGAAATCATCCACCGTTGCGGTAACTACAGTTCATGGGCATGTGAGTTCAGCAATTAATACAACTGATAATGTGTGTTCAACTGGAATGCTCGAGCGTGCGTTCGCTACGAATAGGGAGGAACGGCAACCGGTTGTTAGTGAAACGGCAACTCAGGTTTTGAGAGCGCTGGATGACATCTGTACCGATGAACTTGCACCTCTTCTGTTTCGTGGACGGCTCCCTGGACGTGCACGTGTTCACGATTCGTGTTCGCAATCTCAGCACAGTCAACGCAAAAGAGATATTTACACCACATCACAACCACAAAATTTTTCAACTGTTATTGTGGTGCCTCATGATAAGGGTGCACCCACAATCGACACTCCGAATCCGCGCGCTTACCTTGGCAAATGGTTCGACGATGCGAAGAAGGTTGGCCTGCAAAAAGTCTTGACTGAGGTGGTTTTTGAAATGTTTGTCCAAACTGCGAGCGTTGCAAAGGTTGAAAATATATGGGAAAAGTTTTTGGACTGGGAAAAAAACAAACTCACAGATATGCGGTTGGAACGAAAATCCCCTGAGACTTTTCCTTCAAACCCATTGAATGTTTCAGATTTGGAGGCTTCTTGGATGTTACAATGCCTTTTGCAGAACGAGTTCATTGCTCTCTCTAATGAGGAGATCGCTAGGATGACGTTTGATTTGCCATATTGTCCGACAGAAGGGCCTATTCCCCAACCTTTTTTCAGATATGCACGGATACAACGCCTTTTAAAAATGATTCCTCCGATGGTTCCTTCTTCCGCTCTTCATTCCGCTCCGGTTCGTAGACTCCCCCTTCCAGCAGCATCTCCTCCAACTTTTCAACATCTTCCGGATTATGCCCCCCCATCCACTATGTCAACGCCGATTGTCACTACTTCTGTTGTTGTTTCTGCTTCGCCTGCCGCTACGGCTACTCCGTCTCCTGTCGGTTGTATTATGCCCGCTCCCACGCCGTCGAGAGACCATCTCCATGTCTATAAAGGATCCTTGGAACAACCAAGTTCTTCTAATTTTAACATTGCGATCTATGACTCTCTTGAATCTATTGGTCCAAAAAAGACACTTGCACACCTGTCCTATCTTGACAGTTCTCGCAGGGTGGAAGATATTGTGGAAGCAGCAGTGCATTTGAATACGAACATGAACACTTGGAGATGTGTTCATGCTGCCATTCATCTCGATTACAATCGGCAAAGACAGACTCGATTCGGAACTTTAAAGGAGTATCGTCGCAAAGTGTTGCAACAGGTTTCGTGAGCTGCTGCAAGAGTACCGTTCCAATGAAGGAAGTTGATATCTCTACTAAGAGAGATAGGAAGAGAGAGGTGTTGATTGGGCAGTCGTTCATACGTTGCCTTAATCATAATTTTTTTGATGGTCAACTTTTCTTTCGGTTAAGTAATTGCCCTTACAAGACAGATACAAAGAGCGAGATAAATAAAGGCGTCCAGGGGG